CGCACTTATCGAAAAGAGTAGGGGCCCTTCCCGTTGCGAGTGGTTCAAACCTTATAATATACAGTCCGGTTTTACGCAGCTTGTACAAAATGTACTTAAATGTACAAAACTAGTGTGTTATTCCTATAATTATAGTATAAGGCGGTTTTACCGGTTATACGAAACAAACAAACTTCTGTCCAATCTTCGCTTGTGTCCTTGAAGAAGGAGATGTTGACGATTCCAGTTTACGATCTGGACTGAGCTCAACATTCCCTGGCCGGTCTTCAATCACGAGTAGTAAATATTAAGGAAGGACGAGTGTGTGGTGAAGTGCCAAAGAAGAAGTGTCTGCTACGTCAATATCTCCACTGTCTAGACTTGTGTATTCGCTATGTTAGCTTCTCTACGTTTTGTTTTATGAACTGACAAGAAACATGTATAATGGTAGCCTATATTAGAGTACGTCTCATAAAAAAAGTCAAAATTGATTCATACCAATGCACATTGCTATGGCATGGTTGATGATATAGTGTTCTCGCCAATATACGTTGGAATAGATTAGCATGTGACCTACCGTGCCGTACATAGTGAACAAAGTAATTTTTTTAAGTTCGCTGGTTTTCCTAGCCTGTTCATGTGGTTATTTTGACGTTAAAAAATAACGAGATAAGTGAAACCAAGAATTCAAACTGTGGTAGCCTCTAGACCAGTCCTCCACACGTAAGAAAACAGAAGGTGGCTCACTCCCTAACCCTGATATTCTAACGCCTCGGTTTTCCTTGTTTTCCTGTTTGTATACTTATTATATAGGGTTATTTTGAGGAGAAAAAAATGGTCATATAAGTGAAACTAGGAACCAAGAATTTGAAGTGTGGTGGCCTCTAGACACGTAAGAAAACAGAAGGTGGCTCACTCCCTAACCCTGATATTCTAACGCCACAGGATTAAAGCGCCAGGCCGCCGACCCCTCCCCATAACTCTTCCGGGACCTGTCTCGCTGTCTGACCTATTTCGCACGTCTAGCCTTGTTGTACGCCTTCAATTTCTCTCCTGTGTACTCCCACCTGCAGGAAAGGACCCACTCATAAACCTGACAGTTTTGTAGAGATGAGGGGGTCCGCATGCCCTTTTCCTTAGAGCGTTATAGGCAGTTTTAATCAAGTCAAGTCAAAGTTTATTGCACAGCGATTGTAACAGGTACAATATTTGCCAATAATAGTAAGATTACTGAGGGTATATAATTTTCTTTTTACACAACCAGTAAAGGTTCCAGCCAGAAGAAAATTCTATACCCTAAGTATCCTTCAACCTGATGAAATTATTTACGGGAATAAGATTACTAGCTGGTGGTATGAGTCTATCAAGATTCTACATATAATTTCAACGGGTATTATCTGGCGAAATGTTGAATAGAACTAAGTTAGAGCTAGTAGACCTCTGCGTTTTAATTCTACGTAGAGCGTAGACAGTCCGCTCAACGTAGAGCGTAATTTGCCGTTTTGATTTTACGTAATGTGTTGTAGCTACCCGGAATTTATTGTGAAACGTAATGGGGGAGACTTCCTGATTCAGCGTAATGCGTAGCCGGCTCTCAAAAGTAGAGCACTGTTGGGACCCCCACCCCCCTCCCCACCCCTCATACAGGCCCTCAGATGACTACTTTGAAGTCTTCTCATCGCCCCGGAACGTGGAACCAATACCCCCACGGGGTTCAGCCATCCACGGCGAGTTGGCTGTCAGTTCTTGTCACCTGCATGGACGCTTTTCGACATTTCCTCTTGCGACTAATAACCTCCTAAATGCTGTATTTTGCTCCTTCTCCTTTGCTTCTTATCCCATAATAAAGAAGAAATAACCGCTGCGGAAACCACCACACCTTTTTTCAGTCATGATCCAAAAGCATGCCAAAAACTGGGGGTTTGGGGGGTCTTCATTGTCTTTGGGAGCTTTTATGTGCTATTTTCTGATTGCATATAGACAACATAGCCGGCCTGTTCGAATTACCCCCGTTAGAACTGGGCTAATCAGAAAACAGACTAGACGAACACCACCAAACCCCCAGTTCTATAAGCCTGCTACGGAGGCTAGCATTATTAGATCTCCCACCCGCCCGGAGGCCTGCACAGGAGGCTAAGGATCTCCTAGCCCCGGGAGAAGCGATGACCGGCCGTTGAAATGACCTGGAGAAGCCGCGGAGCGACACACGGCCGCACACACGCCACCTCTCACGCCATCTTCCTTGGTGTTCTCGGACCACCCGGAACTCTCCTGGCCTCCATACCAGGCTAAAGGCGAGGAATCCGGAACACAAACAGGCTAGGCAGGCTAACGTCTGAAGCGTACGCTGAGAAATATTTGGTCCAGAATACAAGGGGCCGTACATGTACGCTGAGAAATATTTGGTGTAAAGTTAGCCTCCGTACCAGAATTACTAACTGCGGGTTTAGTGGTCTTCGGCTGTTTTCTGATTAGCCCAGTTCTGGCTGTAATTCAACCAGGCCGTCTATGTTGTCTATATGCGATCAGACCCCCCTCCCAAAAAAAAACCCCAGTTTTTGTCATGCTATGGAGGCAATCTTGTAGCATGGTGTAAAGTAGTCCAGAATACAGGGGGCCATGCATGTAGGTATCGTCTGTAGCCTCCTTTGAAAATCATTGCAACATTTTTGTTGTGTACCGAGAAAAATGGTTTGAAATGGGACTTATTTTGCAATCTTACTTGATTTCCTTTTTTTTATTCATAAGGGCCACCTTTGTCCAAAATACTACAGTGTGCAGTATAGAGCCATTCTGTCGAAGGGTTGTACTTATGAATCGTAAACTTGAAGGACTCAATGATGTTCTGCTGGTTAAAATAACCGGCCTCAGTGGATGGTAAAGGACACAGATACATAAACCCAATTCTAACACCAGAGACTATTTAGCATAGCTCTACAGAATACAAAAAAGAAGAAGCAGCTCACACACAAGTTCACGTTCTAGGTCCCAATATTTAATACACATCTGAGTCCAATTGAACATAAGCTACACCGGCGAATAACGGATGATAAATAACGTCACGCTATTGGAGGCTGTCAAAAATATCATTCCAGTCTCACGAGAGGGTGCAAGAGGTGTCCGCGCCATTATTTTTCTTGTTAATGTCGTCTGCGGACCTGTCAATCATCTGAGAACTGTAGCTTCAGCGTCTGGTTTCGCTCAGGAAGAAGACCGATGCCTTCTCTAATCTCCAAGCAGATCATACGGTGGCAAGGCAGTATCTATTGGCCAGAGGAGTGTTCATTTAGCCTGGGTACCATCCTATTTGTAAGCCTGGGCTTCCATACTCGCTCTCTAAGAAATAGTCTGGAGACGAGTAGATCTGATTCGGCTAGAAATTTAATAGGGAGCCCCGGCTTACAAATAGGATGGCGCCCAGGGTATGCTCAATAGCCTCTAGCCATTGTATTGGATACTGCCTTACCACCGTATGATCTGCTTGGAGATTAGCCTTCTCCTCAGCACTTCTAAATGTCGTCTGAATTCCTGCCAATTATGTCATAGACTAATTAATTCTGGAGCGCCTAGTCTGAGGTATTAAAGACCTGATTCGGACATGAAAGTTTACAAGAGCTCACATGGCAACAAAAGCATCCTAGAGGATCACAACATTGAAGGTATTTCCGGATGGATTTGGTCCCCTCTCAATTTTGGAAAATAACTAGGGGATTTAATAGTATATTTGACACATTTACAGATCGAAAGTACAGAAAGAAATTATGGATAATTCGCGTAAGTAAATATGTATAGTTTATGGAAATTTTTAACTCTTTTTAATTAAAAGGTATGGGTGGACAAATGTATGGATTGTAGGGCTTAATTTTTCAGGCTATTGCGACACAATTGCAAATAGTCAAGAGAATCAAAAGAAAACATCCTGGTATAACTTTTAGGGCTGTAATTATATAATATTGAATGAAATTGTAAGAACAAAATATTTTCACAACAGAGTTTGGATCACGGATAAAATTACAGCTCACAATTTTGAGCTGGCACAATTACACAACTTAGTGACTATGTTCATTGTCCTTTTCTTCACACAGACAACGTCAATTACAACGTACTAAACGTTTGCTTAATCGGTAATCTTTAGTTCTGTGGTGTCCTAAAGCTACAACTGGCTCAGCCAGTGTTTCACACAACGAACCGAATAACGGTTTTGGTCCCTTAGGCTAAGATAAAGACGCTACAAACTCCTGCTGAACTGAGAACTTATGTTAGTTACACGTGTCGAAAAGGGAAAATGTTATTCCGAAGAAACAAACGGCTCGTGTGTGTTACAACTTCTGCATACGAAGAAAGCCAAAGAACAGCCTGATTCAAGCTTAACGATAGGAAAACTTCGCTCGCAGTTCAGAGGTAGACACACTTGATTGTTGTAAACAATATTGCAGATTGTAGATACATGAGAAACTTTCAAAGTAGTTGAACAAGGCAGGAAATAGGTTCTTGTTTTAGCAAGATTGCTAGTAGTATGAGGTCTTTGGTCCACATCTTCTGACCATTATCTGATACAGACAATTTTAAAGGATGAAATTGAGAGAAAAGAACCTTTACAGTCAAGTCCAAAGTACCAGATGACAAGAAAGTATAATAAATTAAACTGATATATGTAAAGAAGTACACTTTTTGAATATAGTGAGATTTAATTGAATAATTTAGAATATGGTTTAACAGGTTAATAAACCGATGTAGTGTCAATTTTTGAAGATGTTAAACGGATTTTGCTGGACACCCACTAGAGGTCCAAGTCAAGAATTGCGAAATGATGGCCCCTTTTTGGGACATGTTTTGACATTTTCAAACTTTGTCATTTTTGCTTGCCATTTTCTTTACATGTCTACACATAGAAGTGTATTAAACAAAATGCCATTTTATAAGTTGATGGGAGAAAAAATGCATCACCAAAACAGCGTTGAAACTCACATAAGATATCTTGAACAATGAGAATAATATATACGTTCACGATTTTCATTTTCTTCCATTTTTTATTGTGACCTCGTCACTCCAACCAACGAGATTCGACCAGGCGGGAAACAAGTTCACGCGAGATTCCACGTGATCGTTGCTTCATTTGGCCTCGTTGCCCTGACAAACGTGGAACGGTCGCAAGCAGCTTTGTTTTTGTTTTCAACATATTGTACATCTCTTATTGTCTGCCTACAACACAGTACAGTTATCTAGTCCCTAGATTTTATCTAAAATAAATTATATCACTCTATACACACTAGCAGCACCTTGCATAGACCAGTTGATATGAGCTCCCCGTTGGGAAAACTCAACGATCGTAGCACCAGTTTTGGACTGTGCTTTGTAATTTTTAATTAAGGACAAAACGTATAGACCTAGTAGCGACACAAAAGTTCGATCAGGAATGTCCAAGATTGTGATCCACACGTGGTGACGAAGCGTCCATTGGTCCTGTACGGTTTTACTATGCGTGGATCTCAGTGGCTGCAGTAAAGCTTGAATAATGGAGTCCCGCCATTTGGAAGGTTAAGAAACTACCTCCTAGAAGTTGGGGAGGGGGGAAGGTGCAGTGATGACAATAGAAGACGCGGGAATGTCAGATTTAGTTGGAGTACAGTCCACTCAGCTCGGCTCAGTTGAGTGATAATTGTCCGGGAGCGTCTATTCTTCTGGGCGTACCTCTCGGCAATGTGATGAGAGGTTTATGCGTGTATTGTTTTGATATATAGTCTGGTACGGTGTGGGGTTCCACTGTGGAGGATTTGGTTCTATTGTCTCTGGCTCTGTTGTTGTTGTTGTTTTCCGCTGGTTCTTTCTTGTCGGTCTGGTTGTCCTTGTATCCGAGACGCTCCAGTGTGGGCTTCTGTGATGGTGTTTCCGGAATCTCGTTGGTTGGTCCTTCTTCGACGAGGTCGGTTGGGTACTGATGGGCGGAGGAGTCAGGGAACTGTAAAGAGAAGGACTCATTAGCTATATAGATCGGCATCCACATACTTGGACTTACACAAAGAACATCCAAGTCTTACAATGAAATCTTCTAGATCTATCGTAGTAATCTCCAAGCAGATCTTTCGGTGGGGGGAAGATTGGGGAAATGGTTACAGACTGGCCAATTCGATACTGTCTTACCCCAACCGAAAGATCTGCTTGGAGATTACTATTGTAGTCAAGATGTCTTTCCAAAACAGGTTATGTATGCTATTTAAAATTTAAGCCAAATACGTTAGCTCCACACATGCTGACTCAAGGGCAACATGTAGGAAATAGGCCACCTTTTCAATTTTAGCTTATCATCAAATTCTCCCCGACCCCTTGCTAAGGTCCTGATGATTAAGTTAGATAAAGACGGTTGTTGTGATCTGCGTTACGAGTTAACGCTACTGCTGAGTTTGTGTAAAGATGTCCCGATCGTGCCCTGCAGATGCGAAACCGCTCGGCTCGCTACAGGCTAGGATAAACACTGACTGGTAGGGTCGTTAGCGAAGCGTGCCGAGCGCCTGATGGGGCAAACAGACTTCACAACAGCGCCTGGATAGCTCTCAACAAAACTGCTAATCTGGCGGATTAGTCATTTCTTCTGTAGTAGAAAACTGGTTCTCAATTTTGAATACGGCATTTTTCCATTTCGTCCATAATGAGGAGGTTTGAGACCCTGGGCAATATAGAGGGCCTGCATGGGGGGCTAGTGAGTACGAATTACGCATAATTTATTTTCTCCGCCGATTACGAATTACCTTGAAGTCTCAGAGCTAATTACGACTGTTCGCTTTGCAGCTAATTTTCTATTACGATTTACGTTGAATTTTTGGGAGGCTGTCTACGGGTTACGACGACTAAAAAAGCCTGATTACGCCTTACGAAAAAGACCATGCAGGCCCCCATTAAAAACTGACCAGAACAGAAACACACACGAGTCTTGTAGTGGGAAACTGGGTTTTCGTTTTGAATGCGACAATTTTCAGTACATTTTCAGTCACCATAGTCCATACTTGTACATATAGCTACAGTAAAGCTGTTCTGAAACCTTTGTTTTATGGTGTTGTAGGAATCTGGTTCACATTTTGTTTTCGTTTTGAATACGGCATTTTTCAGCACATTTTCAGTCACCATAGTCCATACGTGTACATAATGCTACAGTGAAGCCGTTCTGAAACCTTTCTCTTCTTCTGTTGTAGGAAACTGGTTCACACTTTTTAGTTTTGAATATGATTTTTCAGTACATTTTCAGTCACCATAGTCCATACTTGTACATATAGCTACAGTAAAGCCGTTCGAAACCTTTCTTTTCTTCTGTTGTAGGAAACTGGTTTTGAATGCGGCATTTTTTCAGTACATTTTCAGTCACCATAGTCCATACTTGTACATATATACAGTAAAGCCGTTCTGAAACCTTTCTTACCTTGTTCGGTTTTACGTTCTGGTTCTTGGTGGATTGTCTGATGAACGGAAAGACGGGGTTCGCCTTCTTATCTTCGAAGGACCCGAGGATTTCCTTAAGTTTCATCTTCGGCTCCTTTTTCGCCGCGTCTACCGTGATGTCGTCCCTGTCGTAATGATAGACCAAGTTTTCTATGTTCTCGATAGATCCGAGAGGAGCTTGGTCGCCTACCATGCCGTCGAGGGGGGCGAGTTCCTCGTCACGTTCTTGCTCTTCGGGCTGGGACTCGGTGGTTCTGACCGGCGAGGCGGTGGCCGGGGCGGTTGGGTGCGGGTTGCAGTAGCTCTCCAGGTGGCTGTAGTCACACACGTTGAGGCAGCACTCCTCCACCAGGCCGCGTCGCCGCCGCACCGGAGGCATGGAGCCCATGTAGTCCTTGGCCTGCTGTTCCGAGATGAAGTCAACTGAAACACAGGGAAAGGCAGGGATAGTTAATTTGCTGTTATCTCAAATTAAAATACATGTATAATCACTTGACTGCCATTCAGCGATAAACAATGGCATCACTAGCCTGGATGCCAGACCCATAGCACACTGGAAAAAGTATCTCAGTGTGCAACTTGGGCCAATATAGTCTATCGCATCAGCCGATTTCTACTCTTTCCAGCCGCCTCCCGAAGCCTGGTAGAGGCTATCCTGGTAGAGGCTAGCATCACCAGACTCCTGAAGAATTTGGTTTAATAAAAATAATAAATATGTAACGTTGTTACGTATATATTGAAGGATTGTTGCTAAAATTCCCGCTCATGATGTTGGCAGTTTCACTGATGTCGTCCCATCGTCATCCTGCAGTGCATGCATTTCTGCCTCAGACAGGAAACAGACAGTTGCCTGTATCTGTATCAGTATAACCGCCCTTCGGCGTAACACTTCAGCTTCGCAGGCACTCGGTGCGGCGGCAGCTAGCTATATCACATACACCGAACAAGTGTGCTTGGTGGCAACGAGTTCCAGTCTACGGTAGTCTTGGAGAAATATGAGTTTTTAAACACCCCACTTCTTGGTTGATAACTCATAACTTTTCTGGGCTGGTATCATGATACTTAGTGGTTGGTACGTCCACCAGTTTATTAGTCACTTTGTACATCATGCACAGTCTGTTAGTGATCCAGAGAAAACAGACAGTTGCCTTTAGATGTGATCCAGACAAAGCATTGAACCCAGATGAGGTCCAAAGGTGGGAAGGTAGGAATAAATCTCTCGGATCCCCAAGACGCGAATAAAGTCCTGGTCACGACCTCGGTTATGTCTTGCGTTAGATCTTAAGACATCCCGGTCCTCCTGGCATTAGTGTCTTAGGTCTATCGCCCAAAAGACAAGGCTTGCGTGCTGTATTTACCATTGTTGGGCAAAGTTTAATCCCCAGGAATCTAAGAATATCCGAGGCGTATCATTCTGTATCAAAAGTTTTTCGTTTTCTTCCTGTATTTCTGATACACTGTTGAAAAGAAACTCGGTACAGATAAACCCAGGTGACAGGTGGCACGTTTCCAACCGAACCATGATCACACGTAGCCTCCGTAGCAGGCTTATAGAACTGGGGGTTTCTTGGTCTTCGGCTGTTCTGATTCGCCCAGTTCTAAAAACGGGGGTAATTCAACCAGGCCGGCTATGTTTTCTATATGCAATGAGAAAATAGCACATAGAAGTTGCCAAAGACCCCGAAAACCCCCAGTTTTTGGCATGCTATGGAAGCTAGGCGGTAGGGATGTTTCTCGGTTGCTTTACGCAATGCATCCACTTGGCACTTCTGGATTAGAAGTAGCGTTTTGTACCTATCTCTTCTTTCCGTTCCAGGTCGTTGTCTTTTCCTTGCTGTCCTGTACAGTTACGTAAACGTAAGTTTTCATCCCGTATGACAGAATGCCACCCTAGGCCGGCCCAGCTTCCGTTCCTGCCCGCTGCGCTCCTTCAAACTCCTGTCAAAACCGTCGCCATCCACCATGATTTATCATAAACCCAGCTCTCCCTACACGTGGCTTCTATCCATCCTAAACAGCGGCGGTGCTAAAAGTACCCCCACATGGTCTCCCATGTGCCTGAAAATGTCAAGTTCAGGTTTACGAGGGCGCCTGATACGGTCGGGTAGGCAGCGAAGAGACGAATGCCTTTAGTTTGTGGCCTTTCATGTGATTTAAAATCGACTGGTCAAACGTTTGTTAGGATAGTCGGTGCTAAGAAAGGCCTGGGAGACTATTTCGGGAGCTTCAACAGATCGTGTGGAGAGAAAAAACTGTTGGAAAAACTCCCAGCCGACCTTAAATGTTTATGGAGCTTGTCAAGGCCAAACGATGACACTGGAGTATCCACACCCCGGCACGTCTGACTACAGCCCTTCATCCCACCCTGTCCTTTTACGGCACGGCTCTAAACATCCTCACTGAAGGGCCGGGAAGAGCTGACGGATTGACAACGCCTGCTCACCTGCACCAAATGGCAAAGCCTCACACAGCGGTGGTCGGTCTCTGTATCGGTATAGCCGGGATAACCTAGTCTCTACCAGACTAACTATGCTGGCGGCTAAATATAGGAGAATATTTGTCAGGGGAGTTTTGCCGTCTTGTAGGTTTGGCTGGCCACACAGTTCGGAGGGAAAGAAACTACCTCCCCGCAGCCAAATTTACTATTTCGATCCGTATTCCCGTAGAATAGTCTGGTGGCACGGTGCTGGTGGAGGCTAGATGGTCGGGACTGACATCGTAGGCTCCATAGCCTGACAAAAACTGGGGGTATGGGGGTTCTACATGGTCTTTGGGAGCTTTTATGTGCTATTTTTATTGCTTATACAGACAACATAGCCGGCCTGGTAGAATTACCACCGTTTTATTAGAACTTGGCCAATCAGAAAACAGCCGAAGACCACCAAACCCCCAGTTCTATAAGCCTGCCACGGAGGCTACACACAGCGGTGGTAGGTACTCCAGCAAGGAAAGCCAGTCTCCCTGCTAGTATACTCAGTTTGCACAATTCTGTTTTGTTCTTTTTAGCGTCAGCACTGGCTGAGTTTATCAGACCTCCCGCAAAGGAACGTTGCCTGCTGAGGATGACAATCTTTTCAAGCCAACCGCTAACATAGGAGTGTTTCTTTGCTTGTCATTTTAAACTCCATAACAGTTGCAGACCCCCCCCCCCTCTGACAAACTGTTAACTAGAAGCATTTCCTAACACAATCATCAGCAAGGACGCCAACATCACCTGCCTTTATCCAGCTGAATTTTAAAGCTCGGTTTTGCTGACGCCCGCAGCATTTTAGTCAGCTGGGGTGTCCCGCGGGGCTCGTTCGGTTATCAGCTCTGAATTCCATTCCTGAGATACGGAGGAACCCTTCGGAATCCTTAAGTCGGTGTGATCTTGGACATCCTCTGGTCTCGCCTCGGGAGAACGGGGCCAGGGTCGCGCCACGATTAGACTCATTCGTCATGTACGGGATTACAGTGTCCAGAAGACTCGGTCTTAGTAGCCTAACTACATCACACTTGTACAAGTCCTTCCATTGGTCCTAGCCTGACTACATCACTGACACCAAGCTTGTAGAAGAACAATCTTTAGTGCGGGAAGATTCAGTTTAGGAATCTATAGGTTGAGTCTTTTCAGGAATGTGTATCTGGCACATCACCACTATAAATTTAATGAAACAGTACCCGTTCTGACTTTCGTCTATCTATTGGTAAAGATGTTGTAATTCATTATCAGCATTAGATATCACGAGGATTAACCAATCGACACAAACCAGCCAGTATTTTTACGTTGACTGTAAGTACTATTTATCAGCATCAGATTCTATCGTTAGGATTAACACATAGGCTTGTGCCATCTGTCCTGTGTGTGTGTGGACACACATCAGCCATTTTCCCGCGTGCCCTACCAAGTGCACACCACGTACTCCAGCACATTTCTCAGCGGCCTGTACGATCTCACTGTCCAAAACGACTAGTGCGCTTAATTACCTCGTTTTCCCTGCCACCTTGTTAACGTTTGGACAAATTGAGGACAGAATAGTGACATTTACAGTGTGTTTTGAAATCCACTTTACAAGACATACTGCAGGAGAGCGCCAGCTGTTTTAAGAGGACGGGGGAAATACTAGTATAAGACGACTTTAGTAGTTTGCTTGACCAAAGACGTTGTAAACCTTAAAGTACCCAGAACCACCTTGAGTGGAGGCCTCACGCCTATTCACGCGAGGCCTGCATACCCTTTTTCGTAAGGTGTAATCAGGCCTTTTTAGTCTTCGTAATCCGGCGTAGGCAGTCTCCCCAAAAATCAACGTAATTCGTAATAGTCTATTAGCCGCAAAGCGTAAAGTCGTAATCAGCTCTGAGACTTTAACGTAATTCGTAATCGGTGGCGAAAATTTCGCGTATTAAATTCATAATCCCTTAACCCCCCATGCAGGCCCTCATCAGGGTCTGTAGTAGGACTTCCGGGCGGCCTTGTACTGACTGACTTCTCCCCGCCTTTCCACGACTTGCAGCGATTAATTAGGACACGTCTTTCAAACCCCCTAAGCTAAGCTCACCCCTCCAAGGTGCAATCTCTCACATCGGAACCGAAAAGGCGAACATATTGTTCGTCCGGGAGAAAAGAGGGATGTCTGTAGCACAGTTGGCGCGTGTCCACGGAACAGCCGAGTCCCAAGGGCGTCTGGGAAGGCCGCAAGGAAGGCCGGGAACTTCTGCTATGCTTCTCGCACTCGACGTGGGGATTTTCAGAAGTCCTTACTCTCCAAGCAGAGGTTGTGGGGGAATGATCGTTACCGTTACATTTTGTCGCACCCGAATTTTACTCTCTAGCGGACCAACTCGCCTGGCATGTTATCTCTATTCCAATTTCTCTTTCCAGCCGCCTCTCGAAGCCTGGTAGAGGCTAGTACATCGTTATAACTATCACTGTTTTGTTCTCCACAATTATTATAAAACAAAGACTAAACTCACTTGCTCTCTTGCCCAAGGACCGCCTGGGTTGTGAGTTGTATCCTCTGTTCCCGCAGACGAAGGAGAGCACGTCGGCCAGGGTGGAACCGCACAGGTACTCCGCCCGCGTCTCCTTCACCAGCAGGCACACCACGGCCAGGCTCGCGAGCACGTACACGCTGGAGAGATTCATGCCTGTTGCCTGTAAAACACACATAGAGAACAGGCTGGTTAGCTTAGACAGAAGGAACTTCTCATTTAACATTTAGCAATGTACACGCTGGATAGATCCATTCCTGTTGCCTGCAGAACACACACAGAACAGGCTGGTTTAGTAATGTGTACCTAAACCCAAGTTCAGGTCTGGATTCAAGTCCAGAGGTTTAGGTTCAGGTCTGGACTTGTAACCAAGGACATATACAAAATACAGAAGGGACTTCTCATTTCGCATTTACCAATGTACTCGGCTGAATAGATTCATGCCTGTTGCCTGCAGAACACATACAGAACAGGCTAATTAGTTATCATGAAAGCTCATCTGTGTTGGTAGTTACATGTTTAGAGTTAAAACGTTTGATCCAACACGACGGGGGACGATATCGTCTACCGGATACCTTTGACCCAGTGTTGACGTCACAGTGGGTCAGTCTACTGAGGAAGACCAGAGTGACTGGTCGAATGTTCTAGGTGAGAGAACTTTTTGTGTTGGATCAAAAGTTTTAACGATTTGTACGATAGACAAGCAAATGACAGGCAACAGATTTCACAAAACGCATTGCCTGCAGTAACAGAGAAATGATACACCTGGCGAGGTGGAATATTTGCATATTGGTTCCCGTACGCATATTTTTTTTTGCATATTTGTTACCTTACGCATATTTTTTTTTTGCATATTTGTTACCTTACGCATGCACTCGTACAACAGATTCGCGCCAGGTTTCTGTGACAGAGAGACACGTGATACTCTCCGAGAAGAACTTCAAAGAGAGACTCGGGACGTTTTGATGCCTGTCTCTCGTGACGCGACAAGACAGTTCACGTCCTTGTACGTTTACTGCCGCTGCCAGGGAGCCGGGCTGACAGGGCAAATTGGCCACACGTTTTGGGACGCACGTAGACGCACGACGAGGTGACGCCTCTGGTCATAAAGGAGACCTGATCAAGATGGGTACGGCAGGTCTAGACAGACAGAACACGTGCGGGATCGCTACTTGTATGTAACTTCCAGCGGAGCCTGCATGCCCTTTTGCGTAAGGTGTAATCAGGCCTTTTTATCCTTCGCAATCCGTAGGCAGTCTCCAAAAAAATCATCGTAATTCGTAATACTACATTAGCCGCAAAGCGTAAAGTTGTAATCAGCTCTGTTCGTAATTGGTGGCGACAAATTTGCGTAATTCGTAATCACTACCCCCCCCCCCCCCCCCCATGCAGGCGCCCTCTGCAAGCGAAGGGGACGGTGCAAGTTGGCGCAAAACTTAGTCAGGAATTCACGGAAGTTTTGTGGAGCCAAATGCAACGTGTTTAGACGTGTTGGGTGGGGAGGGGGGTATGCGGGCAGATCCAAAGTATAAGGAAAGGGGGCGCGCCAATACCGATTTCACCTGCATTTTCCAAACGTCCACATCGCGGTAAACTTAACAATAGAAACACTCTTCCCTCGAACATGTGTTTAAAATGCGTCTTTACAGCCTGGCCTATCATAACTATAAGCAGTTGGTTATCCGACTAACAACTCATGTTTGTATTGTGCACTCAACAGCATTAAAACTATATATCTATATCCCTAATGATAGATGAATACACCTATAACAATGCCTATGAAATTGCTACGTGATTAGCAAGACTAATTTCGTGAGTGCCCCCATGAGTTTTAGGACCCTTCTATCCTACCAGCGAGGCCCCTTTAGCCTCGGAGAGATAAAGAAATCACTCTGTTACGACCGGGTGACATTGGCATTCCTACAATGCACGAAAATGCACAGACCAACTATCCAGATCGTAGACATCTGTAATGGTACCATATACATATAGTAAGACAGAACTGAAACACCCTAACCCAATCTCTTGTCCAAAACTATTGCTAAACATATAAAGCTAAATGAGTGTTAAAAGAACTGTTAATATCCTGGAATGTAAACATCTTAGACATTGAATAAACAGTGTAAAGTCACCTATCTTCCTCCACAAGACATTTCCTACACAAAAGGGCAATGCTAGCCTACCGACTACCGCGAGGGAAATACAAGTAAAGCCGCAGAACAAAAGAAGCAAAACACGGGAGCTAGCTATGACTAACTCCAGGCCGCGACAACTCCAGAGATCGCCGATGCACGGTCAGAATTCCAGAGACAGAAATCCGAAGCACTGCCAGCCAGCAGAATGACATGTGGTGATGCCATAATGCAAACCTGAACATCAGTTACTGATACCTGGTTGTTTGCCCTGAATCGTAGACCTGGTATATCAGATAGGCTGGTGGTCTCCCTTCCACTATTCACAGGTTACTCAAACTAGAAAATGATGGAAGGCACGAGCCGCGTCTCTTTTTAAAGCCACGACAGAGAAATACAATGCATATGGCGGACAGACGTCTGGCATGAAAAAATCTCCAAAATAGTCTGGAGAAGACCTGACGTGTTTCGGTCCTTGCGAGCGACGTAACATGGAAATATTAAGTCTAAAAACCTGTCTCTACTCACCGTCATCGCACCCTCTAGCACAAATACAGACAAAGAAATGACGCGGCGGTGGCAGGAGCCAATATTTGTACACATGGAAGGAATGAAAACATGGAGATAGAAGCGAGTCTATCGTACCCACTATCGAAGGCCACACCGGTTATGACACGGGTGACGACCAAGCCCTGGTCAAAACAAATCCACAAAATGCGTACAAAGGAGATACCGGAGGAGTCTACCTTCACAGCTACTTCAAGACGACGTCAGGGCTTCTCAACTACCAAGTGAAGAGATACCTGGCAGCGCCTTACCTCTGAGTTCGGCGTGTGGTGGTTAGACAGGGGGATTGTCCGTGTTGTCAGGACAGGGGCGGTGCCGCTGCAGGAGCTGATCTGGCCTGTATTTCGAAGACGGGGCGAACGGTGCAGCACGGGAGGTCAGACAGGGGGTCAACGGGATTCGCAGACCTGGTAACGTCTCGGGGACGACACGGAGGCAGCCGCCTGCTACTCACTCGCCCAGCGCTCCGAGGATCCGAGGAATGCACGGTCGCTAGCCAAGTTTCCACCTTGACGAAACTTCAGAAGTCTCCGAGGAGGCAGTTTGGCAGCGTTCCGTCGATGACAGCTCCCGTCTGTAGCAGCGACAACGTACGGCGTTCGGTCGTTTAGCGATCGTTCGAGAGCTCGGAGGGTCCAGATTAGGATCTTGCAAGGCTCGGAAAAGTCGAGCCGATGCTTAGCCTCAACACAAGCGATGGAATGCCACGCATGGCGATCCACTGTCAATACGGAATACTGAGAGAGAGAGACTGCCAGCAGCTCGCTGCCTCAGGCCTCGCGTCCTGCCCCGGCCCCGCCTCGGCTACACCCGATATTCAGATTAACTCACGAGCAGGGACAGACCAACTCAAACACACACAGGCAGGCACACTCCGAGACTGACGGCTTGTGTCTGTCCTGTAGACGAAAATTATTCAACTCGCGGTAAAATATTCGCACCTATTGCCAGCCAGTCACGTGGCTGTCTGGCCGAGCTTTTTTTTTTTCCTTTGACTGTAACCCCCCACATCTCGTAGCCTCCGCCAGACTTCTTTTGCAGGCTGAATAAATAGTAGAGTTCAGTAGTATAGAAACAGGCCTTATAAAGGGGATATAATGGACATGCAGGCAAATTGGACCCTCTTTGGTCGGCCACCTTCTCTGGCTAGTTATATCCCCTTTTGAGACCGATTTCTACTATTTAAAAGAGAAGTCATTTTACCCTTCAGACATAGTTTCAGACATAGCAATAGTCTTAGACAATTAGTCACTCTGTACATTTTGAAGTTATTTTATACTCTATTTCAGAGTTCTTTTATGTTTGTAACTTTCAATTAGCCTTCGGGCATGGATTTGCAATAAACTTCTTCACTATATCCGCCTGCAAGAAGTCTGGTGGAGACTAAAAACACAACTCTCGGCACGCACGTGCGGGCTGGCGGTGTCTGTCGGGGTAAAACCCCCAGCGGGGCGTGTACACACAGCCCGCCCTGCGGACCTCCCGAGTGCTAAACGCTAGAAGGCAGACTTGAGAAGGCTAATCACCGGTAGGAATCTAGATCTCTGCATGCACCTGTGCTGAGACGTTCTGGCATTTGGCGATAAAAGAAGTGAGGACAGCTAGGAGCTGGGTTTCCACACAATTTTACGTTCCGGAGTCGCCACGCCCTCATCTTATCTGTCTCAAATCTGTACCGCGCTACCATAATACATTCAGTGTATGTATATCTATACACCTATAAAAACAACATCTATATATCTATTAGTCACCTATAAAAACAACAGTATCTCTATATCTATACGTCTGTCATTTTCCCCACCAGGTGCAAGATGTCTCGAAAATGTAGTAGACTGAAAACTGTCCTTTCCTCAGCGGTTCCCTCACCCCTGATTTTTCACAAAGGTTCTGTGGGAACCAGACGTCAATGCATCAGCTGTACTTGGCAGCCACTGTATCTCCAACCTTCGATATTGAGAAAACGCACCTTTGTGTCACAAAAGCGTACGAGAAGTTATGTTGGAGCCCATGTAGCCTCTACCAGCCGAAAAAACTCCATTGGCATGCTATCTGTCTGTTTGGCCGATTTCTACTCTTTCCACAGCTGCCTCCCGAAGCCTGGTAGAGGCTACAGTGTCGGCCCCAGCCCCCTCCCGAAGCCTGGTAGAGGCTACGGTGCCGGCACGCGGTGTTCAGGGGGCGTATCTGTATTTACGGTGGTCTGAAGAAGGTGGCCAGGAGAGGAAATCGGCGTGAAACTCAGGTCAAACCAGAGGTCAGCCAGGCAGCTGTAGACAGGACCACCAAAGTCAAAAGGTAGACCCACGTCTGCCCCGGCCTTGCCAATCCCCCCGCGACCTATTGTGTTCCCAAGTTTATCTAATTTTTCGGCTTACCGGTTGCGATCAGTGTTTTTTTAGTGGCGATTTAGGTGATCCGCGTTCGCGTGTTGAAACAAGCCTGGGTCCTATTACAGCTCCTAAGGACCTAACTCCTCATCAGAAGGACGACAATTACCTAATGGGGCAAAGTCACAGCACTGTTTGATTAGACCATTTCCTTGTCTAATGTTCTTAGCGTTACGACGGGCAGGGTAATTGGAGTCAACCGTTGAAAGACCCGGCCAGACGCGGCTTGGCTGCAGACGTGTGGCCTTCATGAGGCATGTGTTGATTCCAATAAAAGCAGACAAAAACACGAACAGATTGGGCAGGCCTCGAAACAAACTTTCCTTCCTACTTACTGTCTCAGCACTGTCCCAAAAATAAACTTCAGTTGTCCCGAAGTGAGGATGAACTGTCCCAACCTGTTATTTTGCTTATACTGAGTTTACTCCCAGACAAACTATAATTGCAGAGTAAACACAAATTCAGGGGGACTTTTCCGGATCTAAAAGTCGGGACATGTGCCTGATAAACAAAAGAAGGGCCGACATTCTGATGTTCATTATTTTTCTATTGTCCCAAAAATGTCCCAAAGTGTGCTTTTAGTTGTACCGCCCTCAATTTTAGCGGCCAGTGGACCACCTTTAATTTCGAGCCCTGATCGGGACTGGTCTCCTCCAGACTGAGCCACCCCGAGCAGCCGAAATTGGAAAGATTGGCCAAAATTAGGGGGAATCATTTGGCACAAGTGTTAGGTGATCCAGTTGGCTGGCAAATTTGTCTCTCTTCTCGGCCAATTTCTCCTGTTTCACCCTCACAGAGACGACTAGATATCAGGAGGGACCGGGTTACAGCTCTTTATCTTCAAGGCGACACCTGTTTTGGGCGAAACTGTGTTTTTCTCCTTGCACCTTGGCTACTAAAAGACAGTAAACAGAGCTGTCGCGGTGACACTGAGAATCGAGAGCTGGTCCTTTGACAGTTACGCGGTGTTTAGACTAGCTTCGCGGCGCACGAAGATGTACACACGTCGTCTGGCTTCTGTTTCACAGAGAGTCGGGATGGCTCGCGAACACACGTACGGGAGAACCGCGGGTCCATGGTTCGATTCCCGCGGGTCAGACTAGCCTCCGTAGCAGGCTTATAGAACTGGGGGTTTGGTGGTCTTCGGCTGTTTTCTGATTAGCCCAGTTCTTAAGAAAACGGGGGTAATTCAACGAGACCGGCTATGTATATAGAGCGGCAAAATGTACTCTCTAGCGGACCAACTCTCTAGGAATGTTATCTCTCTATTTGACCGATTTTTACTCTTTTCGACCGTCACCCGAAGCCTGGTAGAGGCTAGCATTGGATGCCATTGATTAGTCTCTACCAGACCAACTACGCTAGCTATATACACGGTGTCGGGGATATTTGAGAGTATGGCCGTAACCGGACTATCCTGGCCAATTTCACTCTCCTTTTTTGCCAAATTCTACGATCCGTATCCCGTAGAAAGGCCTGGTGGAGGCTAGCCTTTGATCGAAAAGGGGGCACACGTGTAGGTCCTCAGCGCCACCGAGGAAGGTTCATCTACCGCACGCGAGTGAGATGAGGACAGGAAAGGCGTCCAACTGTTAGGTCTCGGCCTTGAGAGAGTCTCGGTGCGAGTTATATACTGGCTCAATCCCCAGGAAAAATATTGTCCTATCCCCGTAGGAGCTTTCCGAGGGCCTGCATGGGGGGGGGGGGGTAGTGATTTCGAATTACGCAAAATTGTCGCCGCCGGTTACGAATTACATTAAAGTCTCAGAGCTGATTACGAATGTACGATTTGCGGCTAATGTACTATTACGAATTTCCTTGATTTTTGGGGAGGCTGCCTACGGATTACGAAGACTAAAAAGGCCTGAATCTACGCCTTACAAAAAGGGCATGCAGGCCCCCCTTTCCCTCTCGCGGCCTGGGAGTTTGCTAACCAGCTTTTCGGGTTAGCGTGCACACCCCCCGGGAAGTAAAGTGAGAAGGTGCCAGTCTCACGCCGGACTAAATACCTCCACCTGCGGCGTACAAGTCAGGCCTCTAAACCTTAGAAATTTTGGCAACAAGAGCTTAGAATTCCGGGAGAGTTTTCACAACAGCGACAATAAAACACGCTGCCAGGCTTTCCTGCATGTGATTAGCGCGCGGCCTTCGGCTCTCTTTTACCTCGTCTGGTGCACTTTGTACGCGGTTAAGGTTGCGGCATGGCTCATCCAGCTCATGATGATACCTAGCCTCTACCAGGCTTCAGGGGCGGCTGGAAAGAGAAGAAATCGGCCAAATAGAGAGATAGCATGCCAGGGGAGTTGGTCTACTGGAGAGAATAGTTTGCCGCTCCCGAAACTGTTCTATGGAGCACACCAACTCTCTCGGCATGTTATCTCTCTATTTGGTTGATTTCTACTCTTCGGCCAGCCGCCTCCCGAAGCCTGGTAGAGGCAAGATGATACCAAGCTCAGGGTCGTTTTCTTACAAAGCTCGGATGATACCAATCTCAGTCACGAGAAGACTGGGACCAGTCGGAGCAGGTTCACGTGAAGTTCAACGTCTTTACTAGGCGGCGCGGCGGATGGATTGCACCCGCTTCAAGGCGAGAAGGACCCACCTGGCGTATCGCCCTAAATCTTAATGTGTCGGACAGGGGTGTCTGTGTCTGTATAACTGGGTCTGCATTAGCCTCTACCAGGCTTCGGGAGGAGGCGAACAGTCTAACTAAACTGTTCTCTCCGGCCGATTTCTACTCTTTCCCGACGCCTCCCGAAGCCTGGTAGAGGCTAGGCCTAAATGCTCCCTTTCCTAAGGCGTAATCAGACCTCTTTAGTCTCTGCGATCCGTAATAGGCAGCCGCTTAAGATCATTGTAATTTGTAATCAGTACATTAGCCATGACGCGTAGTTGTTCATAATCAGCTCTGAGACTCTAAGTCCAACGTAATACTAATTCGTAATCGGTGGCGCACATTTTGCGTAGTTCGTAATCACTAACCCTCCCGAACAGACCCTCATATAACCACTCTCGGCCTAACAAAGGCTTTCGGAAAACGTTACAAGCTTCCACCAAAACACCTGCTTGGATACTAGTATTAGATAGGAAGTGATAGTAAAAGTAGGTTGAAGACCGAGGCTTACTTGGACAAGACTCTTGGAAAAATGATATCACCAATTCTAAATTAACCACCAAGGTTCAACCTGACCGTTGCCTGGATACACGTGCGTGATGCCAAACTCTTTCAGACTAAGATCAGACGTATACTTTTCTCGATCTTAATTGAAGACAGAAAATGAAATCTTAGACAGGCTCTGACGCCCTTGTTGGAATCATCAGCCGGGTGCTGTTTGCTGTCAGGCGTAACAAGACAAGGTCGGACGATAAGACCTCGCGGGAAGGAATGTAGGAGGCCAAAATGAAAGTTAACACCAGGGGCATTTCTGCCGCATCTTAGCAAGCAAAAAAAATCGAATTTATGCTACAATCAAAATATC